CTGATTAAAATTTCAGGTTGTTGATTTAATGCTAGATGTACCTGCTGTTGACAATGTTATTTTAACCCTTTATACAAAGAAGTATTATTTTACTCACAATAAGGTCTATTGTTTAAATAAAATAGGATAAACTTTATTTGTTCCCGAGAGGAAATTCTTGTCTTGTGCAAATAAGTTCTACAGCGTTGCTGTAAGCAGACAATAAAATAAATAAAACAAACAAAATAATTAACAACATTTGTTAAAGTTTGAATAAAGCAACAGTAAAGTGTGTAATAAGTGTTCTAATGAAGGTTTAATTTATTAAATAGCATAATGTCATTCTATTCGAAGTAAACATCACTATATATAAGAAATAGAGTACTTAATCAACTTATTTGTGGCTATCGTTTCTTGCTCAGACTTCAGAAATCAGACTGATTTCTGTTTGTTAATGACTCATATAAAGAAACTGCTGAAGCAAGTATTGAAGAGAAGTTACTTTGTTTCTGTTCATTGTTTTGTTAATTTTAAACAGGATAAAGTGTCCAAAACACAGAGAAAAACTCCTGCTGAAGCGACTGAATTCCACACTGTTATAAAGATGGTGTTTATTAAAGAGGAGAGTGAAGATGTGAAGATTGAAGAAACATTCACAGTCAAACAGGAAGATCTGCAGGAACAAACAGGTTAGTTTTCATTCTCAAACACCAACTCAGTAATTTGATTCTCATTTAGATATTTTAATAATAAGAATAATAAATTAAATCCATCTTGCAGCCCTGAGTGTGCTGCCTAGTTCTCCTACATTCACATAAGCACTTATTGAAAGGCAGGAATGAGTTTCATTTGTCACTTGTTCTCGTGTCTTTTGTCATTATTTTATGTATTATTAGTCTCCCATTTTCTCTACCTTCTTAAGGTTATTGCTTTTCTTGTTCTTTTGCTTTTTTTAAATTGTCCTTGAGTACTGGCGCTATATAAAATAAATAAAAACAATAAATTAAAGTTTAACTGAGTTGAGGATATTTGACCTACAGTATTCTCATAGAAGATATCTGCTATTATAGTAATAGTGTTGGCTTAGTACTTTCCATTTGCATATGGCACATTGATCACAATTCCATTTTTTTCATCAACTTCTTTATGGGTTTAAATTTGTTTGTAGAAGTTGTTACTAGTTCTCACTGATAATATGTAGAATTACATCATCATTATTATAATAACTAATTACCAGGGCTATTCCCTATTTAATACCCGCAGGGTCTTAAAATGTCTTAAATTCAAAAACTTAAAAATTTAAGCCTTAAAAAGTCCTAAATTAACTGAAATATTGTGTTGAAGGTCTTAAATCTTTTTTAAGTCTTCATTTTCCTTTGTTCATGTTTTGTTACCCAATCTGGCCAAAACCCATACAATCACCAACAATTCATCTCAATAAAACTTTAAACTTTTCATTCAAAAAGGTCATTTTAACTCTATTTATCAGAATAGTTTAATTATTTTCGTGCTTCATTTGTTTAAAAGTGCCCCATGTTTTTTTCTGCTGAGGACATCGATCTGGACAGATTGTTGTGCATAGATTTAGTTTATTATAGTTTATATAGTTATTATATAGTTTAGTATAGTTATTATAGTTAGTAAAACTTTTGTTCATTTGTTTTTTATTTTAAAGAAAGTTTATTTTGGAAAAAAAAAGTGTGTGGATCCAAGTAGAGCTCTCTTGCTTTTACACAATATTTAAGTTTATTTGATAAGAAATATCTAAAATATTTTAATATTATTATTATTGATTTATTATTGTATGGTTATATATTTTATATTATAATATTTTTTGATAGGACAAATAAAAATCTTTTTTATCTGGGGCATTTGAAAAATTCCTTAATCTAAAATTTCATTCATAATGGTGTTAGGCCTGCGTTGTTGTGTTTTTGTGTGTTGATTTGATTCCTAGATTGGGGCGTGCCTATTTTGATTATATAATTTAAATTGAGTTAAATAAATCTTCTTTTTTAATTATACTTCTCCTTGTCGTCTCCCTTATTATGTTACATCCTAAAGCCAGGTGTAACAATGGTCTTAAAAAATGTCTTAAAAAGTCTTACATTTAACTTGGTGAAACCTGCAGAAACCCTAGTTTAAAGTATGTCAGAAAACGTGGATCCCCCTAATTTGAAATATGCTGAATGAAATGGACACTAAAGTAATTTAAGATCTTTTGCTAAGAAATATCTATAATATTTTAATGTTATTATTATTATTATTGATTTATTATTGTATTGTTAAATATTTTATATTATAATATTTTTGATAGGACAAATAAAAATCTTTTTCATCTGGGGCATTTAAAAAATTCCTTAATCTAAAATTTCATTCATAATGGTCTTTAAAAAAATGTCTTAAAAAGTCTTAAATTTAACTTGGTGACACCTGTAGAAACCCTGATTTAAAGTATGTCAGAAAACGTGGTTGCCCCTAATTTGAAATATGCTGAATGAAATGGACACTAAAGTAATTAATTATTATAAAACATTGTACAGTATTCTAAACTATATGTTGTTGTTGCGGGACGACGTGAGACAAAACAAACAAATTATAGTGGAACAATAACGTTTAGCATTACACTACAACTGGCCAACAAACTAGTCTAAAAATGACTTTTGCTGTTTAAGAAATGGATTACAGCATGTTGATGATATGCAAACATTTGAGTGTAAAGTTCATCAGTATTGACCATATTCTTCATGTACCAGCAGGCGGCGCCATCGGAATGTTTTTGCTTAAGACTTTTTTAAAAAAAAATTTTAGATCCCAAAAACAGTGTTGTGCTGCTGAGGTATGGGACGATAACCATTTTCAAGGTATAACGCAGTTTGAAAAAAAAATCATGGTTTTAAAACCGCCAATATTTTCTTATGTACGGTTAATCGGTATATGTAAGTTTTTTTTTTTTACATTTTGTTTAAAGTTTTTCAGGACAACAGTATCTCTAGCAGAAAAGATATCCAAAGATGCTGTTTTAAATTGTAAAGAAATCTGTGTTTATGAAACAAATGAAGACAGCAGAAGTCAATGATTCAATTGAATGATTTAGCCTGACATGTTTACTGCTCTAAAATATTTTAAAAGTTTCACAAAAGAAAATGTTTTGTGTTCAAAGAGGAAAAAGTGTTTGTTTTTTACCCAGACATTTTAAAGAATATATTTTAGAGCAGTAATCACAGTACCATGAAGCCAAATCTTATACTGGCCCATGCCTAATGCTGCTTGATGTTGCAAAGTCATATTTTCTTATTTTATTGTTTTTCTTTGTATGTATAGTCATGAACACACTTGTTTGCAGAGCAAGTAGTGTGACCGTTTTCTGCTGTTTATTGTTCCTGGTCATTTATCCAATAGGCAGCTGAAGTTCTAAAACAATAGCATATGAGATCAGGTCACTACTATGCAGGATTTGTCTCAATCGAGGAAACACAATAAAAGTAATCTAGAGCGAGTGCATTGGGTTATTTGCATTTAAGGCCACAGGCACAAAAAGAGCTTGGTTTTCCTCTGACCCCCAAAATTAAATATTCTACAAGGTATATAATCTGATTTTGAGCTGAAACCTCAGACACAATCTGGGAACCCCAAAGACTAGGGATGTAACGGTATCAGAATTTCACGGTACGGTAATACCTCGGTATGAATGTCACGGTACAGTATTTATTGAATCATTTACAGGAAAAAACAAAACTTATGAAAATACTCCAAAAAAGTGCCAAAAGTGTCAATGACATACAAATTAGTCATCTATCTGTAAGCTTTGAAACAGGAACTTCAATTTTAATAACAAAAAAATATTAAACCATGTGAAAAAATAAAGTTTCAATTTAGTAGTGTTGAAAACTCATCACATTCAACATTTAATCACTCACTCACTTAGATAGAGATGGGTTTTAAGCAAAATTATCATATAACTATAATCTGGTAAAAGCTGGTATCTCTGGGTATTTACAATGTCCCCTGCAACAGAAAAAACCCCTCTCATTTGGGATTGAGGTTTCTGGGACAGAGAGATATGACTTGGCCCAGGTTGACAGCAGTGGGTGACGTTGTGCATTGTCTTTCCCCCACTTGAGAGGACAAGGCATGAGTGAGATAGAGGTCTCATGTCTGTATCAATCTGAACAGTGTGCTGTATTCTGCAGTCCCCATGACTGTTATTAGTCGTATTCCCCAACTTGCAGGCATGTGCACACATAGGGCTCAACCTGTGCAGTGCACATGCCCTTTTTAGTCTTGGATAGAAAGTGCCCTTCCAAAATGATCAAAAGTGCCCCCGCGACGCGACACACCCTCCGTCCCGCCCTTCAGTAGGCGCGCGACAACACCGCTCTTGATAATGCGCGCTCAACCCCCCTCTCCGCTTTACAGTATGCGCGCGACAACACAGCTGATCAGTACGCGCGCGACAACACAGCTATTCAGTACGCGCGCGACAACACAGCTATTCAGTACGCGTGCGGCGACAACACCCGCTTTAGGTTCGATCATTTCCAGCTCTTTCTCATCCACGCTTCTAGCAGCACACTCCATTTCCGCATTACTGGATCTGTAGCGATAACAGACCGCAAGGGATTATGGCCACGCCTGGGCTGATGGGAATTGTAGTTTCCGCTACCTCCCGTTCGCTTCATTCGCCTGAGCAAATTTTCTCAGAAGACCTATAGTTTTACCGAGTCATGCGACTACGGTAATATCGAAAAAAATTAATATTGCGCTATTACGGTATTTACAATACCGTTACATCCCTACCAAAGACTTATTGTACATCTTGTAAAAAATGCGTAATTGTAGGAACCTTTTAAAGGGATAGTTGATGCAGAAATGAAAATAGCCTCACTATTTACTTTCCCTTGTGTGGTTTTAAACCTTTATGAGTTTCTTGATCATGTTAAACACAAAAGAAGATATATTAAAAAAAAAATGTGTTCCACAATAACAGAAAGTTTCAAACCACATGACAGAGAGTAAATGGTTAGGTCATTTTAATATTTGGGTGAAAACATCCATTTCTTGCTTGTCGCTTTGAGCCTTCATATTAAAGCTAACTTTTTTTTTTTTATAGATCTGATGGTGCGGAAAGAACAGACTCATCAACAGAATGAAATAGATGAGAAACAGCAATTTGAGAAACCCCAAGAAATAACGACTGATGAAAAACCCACACTGACTAAAAAGACTTCACACGGAACACCTCGGAAATCCAAATCGGGGTGTATTTTCAGCTGTAAACAGAGTAGAAAGAGTTTCAGTCAAAAGTCAAACCTTGATGTTCACATGAGAGTTCACACTAGGGAGCAACCTTTCACCTGCGAACAGTGTGGAAAGAGTTTTGGTCAAAAACAAAGCTTTAAAGCCCACATGAGAATTCACACTAGAGAAAGGTTGTACACATGCCAACTGTGTGGAAAAAGCTTTTATCATGCTGGACACTTTGCAGCACACATGAGAATTCACACTGGAGAGAAGCCTTTTAGCTGTAAGCAGTGTGGAAAGAGTTTTAGTCAAAAGCCAAACCTTGATGTTCACATGAGAGTTCACACAGGGGAGAAACCTTACACCTGCGAACAGTGTGGAAAGAGTTTTAGTCAAAAACGAAGCTTTAAAGCCCACATGAGAATTCACACTGGAGAGAGGCCGTACACATGCCAACAGTGTGGAAAAAGCTTCTGTCATGCAAGAAACTTGGAAGTGCACATGAGAACTCATACTGGAGAGAAGCCTTTCAGCTGTAAACAGTGTAGAAAGAATTTCAGTACAAAGCTAAACCTGATTGCTCACATGAGAGTTCACACTAGGGAGAAACCCTACACCTGCGAACAGTGTGGAAAGAGTTTAGGTAAAAAACAAGACCTTTACATCCACATGAGGATTCACACTGGAGAGAAACCTTACACATGCACAGAGTGTGGTAAAAGTTTCCCACATAAAAACACACTCAATCACCACATGAGAACTCACACTGGAGAGAAGCCGTTTGTATGTGCTCAGTGTGGAAAGAGCTTCACAACCAAATTTAGCCTCAAGAACCACATGAATGGTCACACTGGAACCATAGTGTTCACATGTGATCAGTGTGGAAAGAGTCTCACACGCAAAGACACCATTAAGCAACACATGAAGACTCACTCAAGAGAAGATCGTTTTAGATGCTGTAAGTGTGGAAAGGGCTTTAAAAGTAAAAGAAGCCTCAACACTCACATGAAGCTTCACAATGCAGAGCAGAGTCCTCAACATTGAGGTCTTGTCCACACAAACACGGGTATATTAAAAACGACAGCTTTTTCATGTAGTTTGGCTGTTCATTCAAGTAAAGTTTATTTATAAACTACTTTCGAGAGGATCACATGCTTATGATTGTCCACGGCTGGTCCAGTAGTAGCTAAAACATGATTCACCAATGAGATAATTCCTAACTCACTATGAATAACAAGAGTTTCTTAAAGCTGCGGTCACACTAGAGTTTGAGCTTGTGAAATTCGGCGCTATTGACGCATGACCCTGTGTTTTTGGTCTGACGCATTCACTTGCGTATGAATGCAAGTCTATGGGAGGAAAAGCCCAGTGTGACCGTAGCTTAACTCAGTTATCTTAGTCTTGAAGAATCCCTCTCCCACCCTTACTCCCCCTCCTTTATAGATTGGGCAACACGGCAGCCAATGATTAGCCAGTGGTTAGCACTGTTGCCTCACAGTAAGAATGTCACAGGTTAAAGTCCCTACTAACCAGTTGACATTTTTGTGCAGAGTTGGCTCATTCTCCCTGTGCTCGCGTGGGTTTCCCCTGGGTCCCCTGGTTTTCTCCCACAGTCCAAAAATACACAACCTAAGTAAACTGGACATTAAATTGGCACCATAGTCTAGCTCTTAGTAAGCCTTATATCTCCCTTTAGCCGACCCTATATCTGTCATTAGAATAGAAAGAAGTCTGGGGAGTTCATCAAGATCTACCTGAGCTCACACTCCCCTCTTGTCCTGCTTACGGGAGGTAGCCCAGGGCTCGAGGATCTTATGAGCTTAGGTCTCTTCCGGTATAGCATGCCAAACAAGTGTGAACTCTTGAATGCATATCAAGTTACTGATAATGAAACCCTTTGAACACCTGAAAATTGAAACTCAACTGAAAAGGGGTGAAGATTTTGCCAGCTGTTTTGTAGTGTAGATCAGGGGTCACAGCCTAGTACCAGGTTGTGAGAGTTAATATCGGGCTTCAAGGAGGCAAAATAACTCTATATGTTAATAGATTGTATTGGCTTGTTTCATATGCAACAAGTATCTGCTTATGATAAGGTGTGGACCAAATGACCTACAGGAACTCAAGAGATGTGACCCAACCAAAGCAGTTGGGTAATCTCCAGGGGGGTTTCATGCTTTGCTATAAATTAGTGTCTCACAGACTGTACTTTGGTTTAAGTTACTACTGGGGAAAAAATAGCTTAAAGGGGCTAATGGTTTTGTCTTTAAAATGGTTTAAGTATAAAGTTTAGAATAAAAAACAGCTTTTATTCGAGCTGAAATAAAACAAATAATACCTTCTCCAGAAGAAAAGAGAAAGAGGAGACTTTTTTTAGCCTAATATGAGTTTATGAATCTTAAAGTCACACTTTAAAAGAAACTCCATACCACCAACCTTTTTAAAATAAGATTTGGGATTATATACTACATCTAATTTTTATGTTTTTATTAATTTATTTATTTTTATTAAATGTTCAAAAAATATGCAAAACAAGTAGGCATTACATGCATAAACAAGGAAGAAGTAATACAATTACAATAATAGGCAGACACAAATATAGGAAAAAAATTGCGTATAGTAATGACAATTGTATTTACCGTAAAAAAGTAAATAAATACAAATTAAATTAATAATAAAACAAAAACAAATATATTAGAAAAGTTTATGCAATATATGTATACATACACACACACACACACACACACACACACACACAGTACTGTGCGCTGGTCAGTTGGCATTTCTGTGTGGAGTTTGCATGTTCTCCCAGTGTTCACGTGGGTTTCCTCTGGGTGCTCTGGTTTTCCCCACAATCGAAAAAACGTGCGGTACAGGTGAATTGGGTAAGCTAAATTGTCTACTATATGCAAGAAAAGGAGAAAGGGGGTGTTTTAATAGGTTTAGATTTGGAGAAGGCTTTTGACAGGGTAGAGCATGATTTTTTATTTGCAGTTCTTAAGGAGTTTGGTTTTGGGGAAAATTTTAGAAAATGGATTCAAATTTTTTTATACAGATATTTTAACTTGTATTAAATGTATTTTTTTTTAACAGAATGTCTTCAACCAACTAGATCAATAAGGCAAGGATGTCCATTGACTGCTTTATCATACACACTGGTAGCTGAGCCACTGGGATTGGCAATAAAATCAGATAGAAGCATTAAAGGGATACAAATAGAAAACAATGACAACAGAGAAGCTGTGTATCAATACGCTGATGATACTATATCTTTGGGGATTTTAGAGCGATATTGTAAAGCATCAGGAGCTAAGGTTAATGTTAGAAAAAGTTTATGCATGAGGGTGGGAAGAGTAAAAGAAATAACACAACATATACCCTTTAAAGAAGAAAAGGAACATACAAAAATGTTGGGAATTTGGGTGGGGATGGATTTTATTAAAGCATATATTTTAAATTGGGAGAGAGTTTTAAATGGAATTGAGAAAAGACTGAGATTTTGGAAAGCTAGAAATTTGACGTTAAAAGGAAAGTATTCATCTTAAATGCTTTAATGTTGTCAAAGGTCTGGTATGTGTTAAGTGTAACTGCGTTGCCTGAAGTATACTATGAACAAATAAATGATGTAGTTTTAAAGTTTTTGTGGGGAAATGGAAGAGCCAAGATTGCTTATTATACTTTGATTGGGGAGGTAAAAGAAGGAGGTCTGGGACTTTTGGATAGTTTTTTAAAAATGAAAACATTAACAATTAAGATTATTCAAAGGTTTTTGGAAGGGAAAATGGGTGTGATTTGGAAAAGTGTGTTGGATTAGTATTTGAAGAAATGTGGACATTTTAATATGGGATGTAATGTTTTATTGATGAAGATGAAGAAACGGATGATAGCAGGTCTGCCAAAATTTTATGTTGAGGTCTTAGAATCATGAGGGGGATTTTTAGAAAATGTGTTGATTATACCAAAAGCAAGGTCGCAGATTCTAGAACAACCACTTTTACTGAATTCAACAATTTTAAGTGAAGGAAATGTTTTATATTTTAAGGAATGGTGGGACGGAGGATTAAGACAAGTTAAAGATGTATTATATGAAGTAATAAAAGGATTTGTACCATTAAAAGTAATTGTGGAGGATGGTTATAAAAGAGTTGTTAAAGCAAAATTACAAAGACAATGTCATGAGTTGAAAAAAGCAATACCAAAAGACTGCATTGTAATAATTGAAAAAAAAATAGTTGAGCGATGAAGATGAATTACTAGAGACCTATTTTAAGAAGAAAAATGGAGAGATCAATGAGCTTATGTACAGTTAAGAGTTTTTACGCTATTTTTAGATAAAAGGCTTTTGTAAGACCTATAGCACTCAACTAATTAACAAAATTTTAATTATTTATTGAGACATATTCGCATATTACAGCTGTTTCAAGAACTGTGACTGCTATTGACAAAGTGTGCATGAAGAATTCTTGCATGGTTGACTTTAACGCTGCAGACATACACCAAGCTTTAGCAGAAATACCGAGCGAACTGTAGGCTAAAAGCAAATATGATGTTGGTTTGATTAAAGGTTGTGAGCCAGTTACAATCACTGCAAAATCTGATTACAGACCATGCCAACAACAATATCCTTTGAAAAGGGAAGCCATTGAGGGTATTACCCCAGTGTTTGAAGCTTTACTAGAACAGGGTGTTATTGTACCATGCAACAATTCTGAGGTTCGCACCCCTATTTTTCCTGTAAAAAAGGATAAGGGATAATGGGATGCTTACAGAATGGCGTTTTCTACAAGATTTGCAAGCAGTAAATGCAGCTGTCAAACAAAGGGCTCCATTAGTTCCAAATCTGTACACAATTTTGTCACAAATTCCTGAAAAAAAATCACAATTTTATTCAGTGGTTGATTTGGCAAATGCATTTTTCAGAGTGCCATTGGACAAAGACAGCCAGTTTTGGTTTGCATTTAATTTCAATGGTAAAGGCTACACTTTTACACGTCTGTGTCAGGGTTTTACAGCATCTCCAACTTTATACAATGAAGCATTGTTAAGAAGTTTGGAACCTTTGACCCTGACAGCTGGAACTGCTTTGTTACAGTATGTTGATGACCTGTTGATATGTGCTGAGAATGAAGAGATGTGTGTGAAAGACACTGTGACTCTCCTTAAGCATTTGGCTAAGGAGGGCCACAAGGTCAGTTTGAAAAAATTGCAGTGCGTTAAACAAAGGGTAACATTTAGCCCTAACACTAGGGAAGGGGGTGAAATCCACTGACAAACTAGGGTGGACGACAGAGGCACAGCAGGCATTTGTAAACATGAAATTACAAATGGCTGAAGCCCCTGCATTGGGTTTACCTGTACCAACAAAACCATTTGTTCAGATGGTAGATGAGAGAAGTGGGTTCATGACGTCATTGCTCCTACAGGACCATTGAGGTAGACTGTTAAACAATGTACTGGTCTGAATGCAGCTACTCTTCTTCCTACTGAGGAAGATGGGGAAGAGCATTGTTGTTTAACAGCACTTGAACAGGTGTGTACACCATGACCTGACCTTTCTGACGAACCACTTGAAAATTGTTACAATGTCCTCTTTGTGGATGGTTCAGCGTTTAAAGATCCACAACCAGGCCAGAATAAAGTTGGTTACGCTGTAACAACTGAATTTGATGTGGTGACCTCTGGGAAATTGCCAGGGCATTATTCGGCACAGGCCGCAGAGCTCGTGGCGTTGACAGAGGCATGTAAATTAATGGCAGAAAAAGAGGCCACAATTTACACTGACTCAAGATATACATTATGGGTAGCTCATGATTTTGGGGCTCTGTGGAAACACATAAAATTTCTAAAGTCTGATGGTCGACCAATACTCTATGCTCCTTTAGTGGCAGCGCTGCTGGATGCGATTTTACTACCTGACAAACTGGCCATTTGTAAATGCGCAGCCCACTCTAATAATAAAGATTCTGTTTCTATAGGTAACTCCAGGGCAGATGGAGCAGCAAAAGTAGCGGCATCCCGAGACAAGGATCCGAATGTTCTTTGCTATCTGTTGAT